GATCTTAAAGAGAGTCGTGGAAAAGTTCTTTGAAGCGTGGCCGCGGCGAGGGGGAGCGTCGGGGAAAATACGTGGGTATGAGATAAAATTAGTGAACCTTGGGTGAAATGTGAAAACACACCGTGGGCGATAAAAATAACAACTCGTGTTAGGGGTCTGCTCCTTCGCGAGCGCTTTATACCACAGTTCTGTGTACTTACGGCGATATGGACACGGTGGGCGCGTGCGAGTTTTGCGATAATACTATCGAAGAATAACACGTCGAACGTGTTTAAGGGATGTCCCTTTACAATTGTGCGGATGGAGAAATTGCTATGTACTAGATGGAACAGTGGATGAGCGGTACAGATTCTTATCATTTCCTGTTATCATTTGCATTTAGACTATGTTTCCTGAAGCAACAGCGAATAACTGAAATGTCTGCGTTAAGCTATACCGAGACTACTGGCAATCCGAGTCCGAATAAAACGGTACTGCTTACAATAACATCGCAATAGGGAGTAAGAACGGAAAGAATGGTATACGATAATGTTCTACGTTTTCTAATTATTCGGAGCATTATTTAAATATTATAGCTAGTTTATTGCAGCAACGCTAATTTTAAAGTAACTTGATTATCGATTTTAAAAAATTAATGAAAGGGTCTCGGAGCAATGTACATATTAAAACGTTATTTCCGCATATCTGCTTGTAAAATGCTTGTAAATTACCTTGTTTGTCCAGCAGGTCACATAATTTTCCCGATAAATTTATTATAATCATTGCCGATACTGACTTTATTTGCAGGTCCAGAAAAACACGCAGCGAGCATTTTCATGAAATTGCTAAAAAAAAACACGTATCGGTTGGAAAGGTTATTAATTTCGTTTTTCAATCAGTAAGTACATTAATAAGACAATTAAAAGAAACGATTGGCTACGCTGGAGATGTGATATAAAGATTTATATAAAATTAGCCACGACAGTTATAAATTTGTTATAAACAGAAATTGTAGACCGAGAACCGATATTCTCGTGCCACTAAAATATACTATACGATGAGCTTGCGATAAAATAGCAAGTGGAGTCATAGATACCCAGATATATTTTATTATACAGTCTAATATTAGAAGACTCGTTTGTTTACAAAGCATCTAGTATCGCTCGACGTAGGCGCCTTTGTTATCGCCGCCTCTTTCGTTCTATAACCGTCCGAAGGGATTCGTGCCGATGATGTACGAGCTGGCTTATGGAGAAAAGCCCTTTTTTCCCCTCGTTACTCCAAAGTGCGCTGCCAAGTTCCATAATAATTCTTTCCCGAATATCATTATTATACCGTCGGGTCTTCGTTACAGTCGATCTCCCGAATTTTACGTGGTTTCGGAATGAACCGAAGGACGTAACGAAGCGGAATGAGAACTGAAGTGCCAGCGCGCATACACACACAAGTAGTTTCTGTCTACTGTAACTCGTTGATGCGTTTACTTATATTTTACGTGAAACGGCGAGATGGAAAGAAAAAGAGAAAAGGATTGCGAATTTATTGATAATACATCAACTTTTAACGATGTTAAGTACTGTCAGTTCTACTGTCTCAAAAGCTTGCACGTTCATCCGGTATTTTAAAGTTCAATGGTCTATAAGTACGAAAACTGGATACAACGGATATTTTAATAAGAAATCAATTTTCTGAAAAATAAAATTTTTGTGTCAAACTCTGCTACAACGAATCTGATATAATTATTAAGTTTCTATTACAAATGTGACTTTTATTACGTTTACTGTTAGTTTATTGTCAACGTAACAACGACATGGCGTGAATAAACTGAAAAGTATTTAATGACAAAAAAATTTGTCGAGCTGGTAGTTTTAAATACGTTTTCATCAGAAATTTCCTCTCGAAGAGTATCCGTCAGTCTCTGTAGTCAGTTCCTAAAATAGTTTATCGATCTCTTAAATATTTTGTTAGAAGGAATATAGTCAATTCGAAGGAATCGATCGATTGGAGGAGTAAACTATAACCGCATCCGCCCTCTGTAAGAGAAGTTTATAAGCTGCAGCTACCACCGGTGTATACCTGGTAATACACGCAAGCGATATCTTCGCATTTTCCCCGGGAAATTTACTTTATCAAAGTTATCACTTGTTGGTTTACAAAGATACCGATTATTGTCACAGTAGTAATAACATGTAAATGTTTGTACTTGTTATTTAAAATTTATAATACTTGATATTTTTAATTAGCTTAACAGAAAAGTACTTACTTTTTTATTATTTCCTATAAGATTACTAAATTTATGTATATAAACTTAAAAGCTTCTTTTATACTCGCACTATTGATTTAATACAGTATGAAGTATTTTATTCGCGCGTCTGATATATTTCTACCCAATGAACACCGAGCATCAGTTACGTTGCATTTATGTAATATTTTTTCACTCAACAATCTAAATGTAATATAACACATGTGTGAATGAGAAATTATAACATAAATGCGATGTAACTAATGCTCGGTGTTTACTGGGTACTTACCTAACTTATTCAATAAAGATAAAGATTTATCAGCACTACCTTTTATCTGCTATTGATCATTCTTCAGTTAAGATGTAAATTAATTATAATAAGGTAAAATAAGATACTTTTGTAAATACGTTTTAGTTGGTATTATTAGATGATGAAACTTTAACGTTTACAAACCTCTAAAGTTCAATTGACTTCTACGAAATTTTGATTTAACGAAGAAAAGAATTTTGATTTAACAAAGAAAACGGAAAAACTATTTGGTAACAAACAAAATATCAAAACTTGTAAAACAATATAGCATAGAATAAAGTTCTTACTCGAAATTATAGACTTAAACTTGAATATATCATAAATGAGAGAAGTGTTGAACAGGAACGACCTGCGTAATATCTTTTTATTGAAATACAGTCTTCTTTCATTCAGTCTATAATTTAACAAATTTTGCTCCGTCGTAAATCAGAAGTCCTTGGTGAAAAGAATGGAATAACCTACAACACAAACGCAACAATTCGCACAAAGAATTATCACGATTGTCTAACATTTATTGCCCAAGTACACGATAAGTTACACATTATATTTACACGGGAGGGAAGAGTTATTGTGACCACAAATGCAAAAACTAATGTAACTTACAGCTTAGCGTATATACATGTCCCTGAGGCTTATTCTACATTATCGTACACACACTAGTATCATACAATACCAATAGCTCTATTGCATTGAACAAACGCGGCGTTGTATATTATAATTTACTGATTATCACACGTCTACGTATATGTACATAGCACATTTGGGGTCATCACAAACATACGCAAGCGGCATTGCGAAATTGATGGGTCCATTTGGAAAATTCAAGCCAAACTTGCAATTTGCAATCGACTAGCGAAAAGTGATTGATTGATAACAAATTCGTTAGGGAAATTAAATGAAAGCTCGACCAATGAATCGCTAGTATTGCTTTGACGACTGAAAATATTGCGTATTCAATATTTTGTGTAAAAGCAATATTAATAATTGTAATACATATAGCAATCTATAGATTTATTTTTCCCTACGTTCAACACACACTGAACAGAAATTAAAGATCTCATGTAAAAAATCAAAATCCAGATAGATATCCGAAAGTTTAAAAATTTGAATTTTAGCCTTGATCTTTTTTTAACATTTTCATATTTTATATATGTTCATTTCACGTACAAATGTTAAAACCTCGAAATGTACATTAACTATTTAAAGTAACATTATAAAAATCGCAAAAATGTAACGATAAATGTTTATTAACACAAAATCGTTGTTATGAGTAAAATTAATTTGTGAGAAACTTGCAAATTTATTAATAGTTAATAATTTAGAGTTTAGAAAGTGCTATATGTTAAGATGCAAGATAACACTGTTCGTTGATATACGTACTCTGTATAATCATTATTACTCTAGAACGCTAATCACTAAATTATAACGTATGGATGGAAAACTGATGTGATGCTTTCTATCTATGTCATTTATATGTATAATAAGTCTATTGTACAATACTATATTTATGATCTCGAGGTATTTGAATTAAAAATACTTTATTGATTATTCCGTTGAACAACGGAAATCCTCAGAAAATTATTGTCATCCTGTAACATAAGCGATTGTTGCATTAGATTAGCACTTTTACACAAACGTGTAAAACTTTCTACAAGAAAACAAAATAAAAACGCGATTCAACAAAATAATGTACTATTTTTCATAATCGCAATTTCGTATGTGGATATTTGTTATGCGCTATAAATTTTTATTGGTTGTTATTAACAATTCCCTGCATTATTTAAATCGCTTGATGGATTAAATATAAAATCAATTACATAATCCATTCCCGTCGCTGTCACAATAATTAATGCGCCAGCAATAAAGAATATTCGATCGGTTCCCTTAAGAGGCAATATAGGTAGATTTTATAAAGAATTATTACATTATCCGTACCCGTAACTAGAATAAAGAACACATTCACTATCGGTTTGAATAAAATGGACTAGTCCTCTTTATAGCTATTATGTAGAGATCATTAGAATAGCCCGCTTATAATGTAATCCGTTTTGCAATTCTCTCTGTCTAAAGGTTTTTGTGACACGCTTTAAGGGAAATAAATTTCTTCTCGATGGAAATATTTCCTGTGAGGCACATTCTTTTGCTTCAGAGCGACATAATTTATAAGCTCGAAAAACAAATTGAATCGGCAAATTGTAATTATATTGCAAACGTAATTCATGAAGCAATGACAATTTGTTGGCATTGTTATGTAGCACTTTTATTACTTAAATTATCCATTTATTTAATTTATATTTTACTTCTTTATTTTTATTTCTTAATAAATAAATTTTAACCTATTATTTCAGATTTCTCAGTATCCATGCTACATATGTACAAGAGGATTTATTTATTTTTAATTGATACTTTCTACATAAAATGTAACTAAATTTAACACTTTCTAACATTTACATTTTTTATAATAGTAAAAGAAGGAAATGAAATTAAAATTTCTGCGTATATATATTCTTTAAAATCAGGCAAAAAAGATGACTGCAAATTTTAGTAAACAACAGACAACGACTTTTTACATTTAAAATTATTTAAAATCCAACTACATGTAATGCAATATAATACATTCACTTTCCATTCTTTACGCCCTTGTACATTTAGATATTATTAGCATATTGCAAGCTATATACACTTGTTAGTTAACATTTTGAAATGCAAAAATGATGACAACATATATTCGCAGCAATGCCATTATTTACGTGTGTTTGTAAAACAAATAGTATTTTACTAAATGCAATTTTCGACAAATTAAAATAGACGCTTAAATTGTGATAAATGTAAAAATAGAAAATGTATTTGCATAAAGTATAATTTAGTGAGTGAATAGAAATATAATTTTTTTTGTCGGCATTTGTGTTATTAACAAATCCAAAAATATTATCGCAAATAATATGTATGTCCGTCCCTACTGGAACTACAGATTTTCTTTTTCACGTGATGGCGAGGTCAACAGAGTTACCGCTTGGAATGGAAACGGTAAAAGCCAGCTACTATGGCGCAAAGGGGTTAATAGATTGGTGGCTTTCTACGTCTTTAGGGAGGAAAGTCTATTAGTTCGGCTTGCAATGTGTTAATTACGCTTCTCGCGAAGTACCCTGGTCACTCTGGCCCGATCAGCCGGGTACTCCGGAGACCCCATGTAAAAACGACCCTTCGCTCTACGCAAATTTCATGTACAACAGGAAGAGATCTTTTACGGAGAGCAGCGAACCTACGCAGCATCATTCTTATCAACATTCCTTCGTTGTAACGTTCGCCAGCGTACCATGACCTGGTCTCGTATCCGGAGAACGTCTTGCGTTAATCGTAATAGTTTCTAGATGCACAATGATGGCCTACGTGGATAAGCCACCGGCTAGTATCACAGTCATGGCAGTTATCCCGAGATTCGTAAGTAAGTGACGATGAAACGACGACGAGGCCGTCGCCGATTGAAAATCGATCTGCTCGTCACCAATATCGTCGCCCTTTAGCATCGGCTCGTCTTTCATACCGACGGCCTTCTCGTGGTTGTGATCGATCTTCCACGTCTTCTTTGACTCCCGCCTCGTGCCTGGTCTGCGCGTTGTTGGCGGTTTATCGATCCCTGAAAGTATGACGATACAATAAATTCGATAAGCAAAATTAGTATAACGTATCGTGTGCTTTTCATAGGAAGCGAAATATTTTGTAGTACGCTTCTAGTACGGATTTTTAGTAAGAATGTGTCGAGAAACTAATGTGTGGTGTATCCTGCTTCGTTTCATTTTCTTCCGAGAGTTGTTATACCTTTTATTTTTTAAACAAGGCGATCTTTACTCATAATATTCTAGTTTTTAACCAAGCATCATATTAAGTTTAACTAAAGGATATAGCGTCAATAATTAAGTTATTCTTAGCAAGTTATAAGCAAATTGAAATGGCAAATATCTTAATTAGAGCAAATGAGATTAAAAACACGTGAGCTAAAATATATGCAATCCATTACGAGGGAATAGAAACAGCGCGACTTCAAAGTTAATTATAGAAGCTAAAAGCTCGTGCCTCTGCGTTAATTTAAGCCATGCTTATCGTTGTTTACTAGCATTGGTTTTACCAATCGATTTCAATGCAAAGTCATTTACTACGGATGTCCGTCCGTGAAGTAAACAGTATTCCGTATTAAATAGAAATATTTGTGAAGCGACATAAACACGATCGTGATTTTCGCGATCGTGGTGTTGATAAAAGTTCACGATAACGAATAAAAAGTACATCAGCTAATTGCTGGATCATTGATAAAGGTTGGCGCCTAAAAATCGGCCCGATCGTCTGAATGGAGATTGAACGTCCGTCGCGGTATGCAACGCAGAAAGCCGCTTTACGTCGAATCGCGTTTGAAGCGAAACGGGCGTAAATGGCGAATCGAGATATCGGTAAAGCCTGTCCGCGAGTAATAACCGGAAAAATAATCGGCCAGGCGGTCGGACTTTCCGCGCGATGCTCCCCGGTTTGACGTATTGGAATGTCGTCCGTACGGTGTTCCCGCAAACCCGGAGAGCTCTTGTCACTTGCACACTCCGTCGAAATGTCGAGAGTTCGGAAGCGATATTAATTCTCTCGCGCGTGCATCGACATTCCCGCACGAGACGAAAGTAGACTTTTTCTAATTAATCCGCAGAATGACAGCGCGCGGGCCGCATAACATGCTGAGGTGACAATCGCTAACAATTGAGAGACAAACGTTACTGTTGACAGATTACAACACGATGTTGCAGATGTAAGAATAAAGGTGGATGTACGTTTTCCTGCAATTGCGACACACAGACAAATGCTCGCGCAACTTAATCAAGAGCTCAGAAAAAGAAGCAAAAGAAAGATGTGATATTTAAATAAACAAACTCTGGCTGAGGTAATATTTTTCGCAATAAGTCTCTTTTAATTAATAAAAATGCATCTTCTATAATTAAATTATTGCCAGCTCTGGTCGAATAATATTACTCCTCTGAATTACTTAATCATTTAACATTTAATCGAATGATTTTTATGAGGAAAGAGAAGTACACTTTCGTCTAACGAATCTTTGAGCTTGTTTGTAATGTCATGCCTTTAAAGTCTCTTTGCATATTTCAGTTTCTGAAAGTTACCTCCGTGAACAGAGACGTGGGCCAAACATTGTTGAAATAGTAATCAACTTTCGTTCGATGTGCAGGAGCTTATGCAACGTTGATTTCAATTCGCGAGCGACAATTGTGTTTGCACTTCTGCAAGGTCAATGCGTTTATGTTTACTCGTAGTAGCTGTTTGCAAATCTCGGAAAGCGTACGCCGCGCGGCAGCGTATTCGGAAGTACAGATGCGGAATTTGTGCTCTCGGCGATTCTGACAGTTCGGTGTAACGGCACAATTTAATAAATACATTAATTAATACGCTCGGACACTGGCGCTCGCGGTTGAATATCGGAATTGCGGTCGGAGCTGCGCTACCGAAAAGCCGTCGAAGCGGACCATATTCGTCTCGCCCTCGCCTTAAATTGCGAATTTACATTTATTAGCGCGCTGTTATACCATCGTCTTTGATGCCGGCTGTGTCTGCGGTAATGAATATTGCGACTGCGGTTTAAGATGCTCAGAGGCGGCCTCTTCCACCTCACTGCAATTAGCCAGTAATGTGTTCCGCCGTAAGAAACCGTAATTCTGTTCACTCCACTACCGGTGATGCCTGCCATTTCACGATAACGCGCTTTATAGCGCGCGAAGGTGAGCAATGATCAACCGCGGAGCGAAAATAATTCAACTTGTCTTCTGTCCATTTATCTTTTCATCCGTCTCTCGCCAAGAATTACGAATAACGCGAGGAATTGCGGATATATACCTCGCAAGTTTTATCCGCGCCGTCCCTGTCTCGGCGGGGCGAAGGTGCTAAAAGGCGGAGGCGCGCAATTATTTTATTCGCGCGACTCTGTGCAGTCTCCGCAAAAATCGAGAGAAATTTAATCATTTGAACGTTGCTCACGCAACTTGTCAAATGTAGATACAGTGATGGAAAGAAATTGCGACACTGTCTCTTTTAAATAAACGTTTAGGAACGCGCATTTGGATTCAGGTTTACGTTCCAAAACACTTTCTCCGCGGCAAATTCTACTCGAGAAGTAGATCGGAAACGCTGAAAATGGCCGTCGAGTAAAATATTCCTCGGAGAAGAAGTTTTTGGGACGTAACCCCAATTCAAATGCACGTTCCTAAACACATTAAAGAAAAAGGTGTTGCAACCATTCTGTCCATCACCGTACAACTCGACGCGACTACTTTCAGCGCTAACGTACTAAATAACGACAGAATAATCGCTAATTGCTAATAATCTCGCAGAAGTTACTTTGGCCGGCGCCAGTACTGGGTATTCGCGAAATCAGATTTGCCGGGCCAATTGCGACTTAATTCTTTCTCAAAGAACATCCGCTTCTGCCAGCGAGCGAAGCAAAAGTGAACTAACGACCGTGGCTACCACGGCGCGTTTATCGGTCACATCTACACGCGCGAGCGCGCGCGCGCGCGTTCCCTCATCCGGCGATATAATGCAATTTGAATATAGGCCATCATGCACAGACTTTGCATGCCATGCGTGCACGTCATTGTACAGACTCGGAACGACCAGCGCGGCGGTGGCGCGCAAAGTTCCCTCGCGGTCTTAAGGCCTGTATCCACGGTGCTAGAAGTTGGCCCAAGTTCTAGTCTCGAGAAATGCGCAGACAATCAACTTGCAGCTATTCCATAAAAGCTGCAAGTTGATTGGCTACGCATTTCTCGGGACTAGAACCTGGACCAAGTTCTAGTATCGTGGGACGCAGGCCTTCAGCCGCTCCTTAAAGCATCCCCCTCGCGACTCGTCGCACCCCTTTTCGCGCGAACCGCGCCGCGTCCGTCGATGTAATTCCTCTTTCTCACCTCTCCGCCCTCTCCTACGCGTAATCAAGCTCACGTAAGATACCCATCGAAGTTAACCGACTTGAGCGGAGCATGTAATCCGGAGCGGCCCGTGCCCTCCTCCCGGTAATTATTGCTAATGTTGTTAAACGTGTGCGCCACGTCGGCGCTGCAGCGGAAAAAGCTCCCCGATAATAAGCGACAGGGCGGCGGCGTGCAGGTCGACCGACATTTCAATGGGACGCTGGATTAAACTACTGGGCTAATTATTGGAGAAGTGATTCGCGAGAATGGAAATTCGCGATGGCCGAGTACAGGCCGGGCGCGGGTGTGTCCCCGGGCCTTCCCGCGTCCTAGCTTCGGCCGCAGCAGCGTTTTATTTTGTAATTGCTGGTAATTAAGTGCCTCCCCGCACGGCCAGCCCCTTTCCGTTATCCAATCATCAATGAACGGCGATTTTTGTCCGCGTCGTTTTCTTCCTCACCTCTCGAGCGCACCGGCTCCCGTCCCTCCTCGCTGTCCCTATCCCTTCCCTCACCCCCGTCGACACTCTAATTGGAGAGACGATCAATTAACATCAGCGAGGCCGGACGGAACGGACGGACGGGTCGTGCTTTACGCATTTGGCGTGCTCGCCACTTGAATCTCACGCGTGAGATCCAATGAAATATAATGACGGCAAACGGAATGGACGCGTGACGCGGTGACGCGAAGATGAGATGACATGACGTGACGCGACGCAACTCGACCCTGCGTGACTCCGTCCCTTATCCCTACTGCGGTTTGATTCGCCGCAACGATGTCAGAAACTTACGGAGCGCTTTCTTCACTTTTATTTCACTTTTCCTCCCCTACGCGGAAAATAGCTACTAACGTAGTTAGCTAACGAGCGGCGCACAACATGCTCTGCGAGATCGCCGGCTCTTTTGCCCCATCAACGCGACAAGGGTAAACGGTGGGACGAGGGTAAACAAGAACGGAGGTTGCTTCCGAAGTTCATATGCACGATGATGGAGATCAAGCGACGGCGCCGTGGAACGCCGTGCGGGCAATGAGGTGCATTGGTACTGAGATTGGGGCAATTACGTCGAGGAGGCAATATCGATCGGCGATAAACCGATAAGTTATCCGCTTAAGAATCGCGCCCTACGAGATCGCTGGTTTAATCCCGGCCCGGGAGATGTTTCGTTGCCCCCCCCCGAAACAATCGTGCGCCGGGGTACGCGTGGATTTTTCATTCGTCTCGCTGCGTACGCCATTACGCCACAATGAGTTTAATCCATACGTTTTTGCGAAACATGTTTGACTACTACAAAACGCTCTGTATCGTGTTTTCCGGTAATAAGCGAAACTGATTAAAATCCCTTATGTGTACGGCTGACGCGATTAAAAATAATTAAAGAAAAAGAAATAATGATAATAATAATAATAAAAACGCAAGACTCAAGTTTGTGTAATCTAGTAAAGTGTAATAGTCGTTATTTTTTTTATTATTTGCACAAATGAAATATAGAGCACGCGAGTAACTAATCCTTTTTCCGCGCGCGCGATACGCGCAACGCGGGAAAAACAGGAAGCGGAGGAGCAAGGAGCGTGTGTAACATTTACAAAATAAAATTTAATTATCAGTAAATTATCTGCATCACGTAATTACTGTATTACCTGTACTGTGTTACCTGTGTGTCAGGTAATCACTACAGCATGAATATTGGAACACACATACAGGCGATACGCGTGATAATACACGTATGAAAATTAAACGAGATATTTAGTGCACGTACGTAGTTTTTCGTACGGGGGAACGCAGCATGTAAAAGGAATGAAGGAATTGGGAATCGAATTGGAATAACAAAGTGATTAAACGTTCTATATGCGGGAATAAGTGGCGCGAATCGTGCACGGAACAAAAGTACACTGCGTACAACTTATACGGATTAATAAGTTCATAGATGTTTACTCACTGTAAAGTTTTATCTTGCCGTCGGTCTCCCCGAGGGAGTTGGTCGCCACGCACCGAAAGGATCCGAAATCCTGCGCTCGTATGGACTTTATGACGAGCTTCATCGTCATTTCGTATAATCCTTTAGGAATTGTCTCGACCTTATAGTTCTCGTCTGAAAAGTGTTGAAAATATCTGCATAGAGATTAAACGCGATAAATGCAAGTTGAAGCACACATCGCAATTGTAAACGCTAATTTCCGTGGAGATTCACGCGATCGATCACAACACGCATATAACATTGCATGTGCAGTTTATAAAGAAACGAACTCGTTATATTAAAAATGTGTCGGTTAACAAAAAAGATCATCAATAATTAATAAAACGAAATTCGCGAAGCTCGGCGCATGCACGACTGGATGAAAAATGCGCTCGCGTTTCTCCTAATCGAAGTCAATGATTCAGAAGGTTGTTAACGCGGGAAACCTGCGTTACGCACAAAACCGGCTTTTTCGCATTGATGCAATTGTACTTGTCTCTCGTTAAAAAGCTAATTCGTTTCATTGCCGCGAATAAAGAAGCACTAACTAGACAGGCTTCCATGGCAGCCGGGAATAACAGAAAATTTCAGATCGATGCGGCAGTAAACTTCGTATTTACGCTCCGAGCCGCTTAAACATTATGGAACCGTGCAAAGTACGCACGGAACGGGCCGTGTTATTCGTGCAAATGTCGTTTTCGTTCTGGCACGTGGAAGACGACGCGAATGTCGATTTTCATGTTATTAGTTCCAGGCTACGGCACTGTCGATGTAGAACCGTTATTTCAGAGGAAAGTTTGTCGGCGCTCATATCGGTACATGTCGCGTTATCGGTAACAATAAAAAAAAATCGCGCTCTTTCGCGAAAGTTTACTCACTGCACACACGCCGATTGTGTACGCGATTTTACAAATGTGCATTCGAAAATCCGTGAGATACGATACACTTGATACGTTACCATACGAACATTGTCGGGATATTTCTAATAACGAAATGGATATGCAATACAATCTATGCAAAACATTGCAGTGTAATAGCATAGGGAAGTTTATTGTGGTATTGACCGGTTGTATAATTTGGGTAATTCATTTTTCCACTCAATCGTCTTACGTCTTTCGCCTACACTTAACATCTTTCTTTAATAATTGTGTTACTCTGGAAAAACCTAAAGTTACAATTACTAACTTAATAATAAGTAAGATTATTTACATTAACACGCGTATTCATAAATGCAAAGTGAAGTACATTTATTGTCATAACGATCCTTGCAAAATCAGTCCCTATTAGATAAAAAAACGTAAGAAAATATACAAGTAAAAACCAGCATGTACAAGGTAAAATATTTAATTAAAAAGTATCTGCTGTAATCACGTTAACTAATAATAGTTTTCTGTAACCAATCGATAAAAATTTCAAGCTAATCTTATCAATCTATGAAATTATGAGAAACTTTATCAGACGGCAATTAAGCTAGATCGAAATCGCGATAATAGATAAAACTTATAATTTGCATAAGAACAATTTTGCGCGTTCTTAATTGATTTGCAGATCTTTCATTACAACGTGTTAAGGAAAAATTTTAGCCCGTACGGAGGGTGCTGTCATGGATTAACGACCCGACACGAGATGGCACGCACACGTCTTAAGTTTTAATGCCGCTGCCCTTGCCCTTAACCCCTTGCATATCGCAAAGGTGCATGGTAGCAATTAGAGTGAAACGACCGCGTTAGCGCGGTGTAATTAAGGCGAATTGCATTACAGCTGCTCGTGCGTGCACCTCCCGGCGTGCGCATACAGAAAAAAGGAGAAGGCGAAGAAGAAAAGGACTCGTAACAATTATTTCACAAATTGGAATGAAACGCGCTCTCGGTTTCATTAAAACTCTCAAGTTTTTCTTCTTTCCAGACAATGAGTATCATTCACGGATTTTTCAATGATAAATGTTATTTTAAGAGAAGCACATCAAGTTCATGAGACGTCGATGCCTGTGCAATTATCGATTGATATCTTTAGGAAGACATAATTTTCTTTAACAGTAAATGTAAAATATTTAAGAATTGAGTTATGGTCTAGTAAAGGTATTTGTACCGTCTCGTATACTGATTGGCGTTTTGTTCGATTTACTACAAATAAACCTACAAATAAGTTAGTTGTTTGTTGTGAAAAAGACATATTTTTGTTCGCTTGATAAAAGTACGAATAAAATAGGTCACTTAAAATACTGGCTTTTCAACAAACGGATTTAACTGACTTCTTTTTTTTCCAATGCACTATTTTTATATTATTGTCGATGAGAAAGCAAAGCATACTACATCAGATAAATATGTATCTACCCACCATTCGCGATGGTTTCGTTCGATGGCCTCGTCCAGTAAGTGATAGGACTAGGATGAGCTTCGCTACGACATTCTAACGTAAGAGTTTGCCCCTCGTAAGCACCCACTAGCTGATTCTCGATCCACACCATTGGCTGAACTGTGCAAGATGACATATTTAAATAAAGTATGCGTTAAAATATAAATATTGCTATTGATTGCTTGAAAAATAATATCTTATTTTTATTTTAGAAAATTTCACACATACATCTCTCTCTTCTATTACCATAGCATTTTCTGAGACGAAAAGTTATGCAATACTGTTATTTCTAATTAATTTAACAAAGTATAGCTTTATCAAATAAATTTGATAAAAATTATAACGTGAAAACACAAGACAGAAATTGATAAAACATCCAATTTTCCAAACTCATCACAAGGTACAACGTCTGACGTTTGACACAAAAGTCTTACTAAAGCTCCAGCACTCCATTTTTAAAACACGCTCCCTAGAAGGGGGAAAAGGGTTCTCTTATTTTTTAATCAATCCAGAAACGTCACTTGTCCTCGTAGTAAGCGACTTGTTATATAGCGTAGCAAAATTACGTAGCCAGCGGCGGGAAAGATTTAACTCCGTTTTCAGGAACAATGGCCCTCGGGATCAGCTATTCACCATGCCTACCCCGAGAGACGTCATTACGCGAGATCGCTCACACCACACGCGAGTACGACAATTTAAATTATATTTTGCGACAAGCGCGCGACGCGCGCATAAGAAAGGATTTCTACTGCCAGAACAGAACAGAGCTGAATAAAATATCATTCGCAATTATGCATCTCCACAATTATGTATGCGCGAAAAGCAAAGAACAAAAGCGGAATAGTCGGAGTTTCGATTGAATTAAAAATTTCAGACCGAAATTCTAACAATATTACGTCGCCCTAGTAACACGCGGTGGTTTATATAAAATTAGATACGTTTAGGAAGCACATATAAAACCTGTATGAACCGCCGCACGTTACTAGGTCGCGTATACGTCATATTCTATAGCATTTTTATTTTGAAAGATTAATTCACTATGATTATGAATAAATTTCGATTAATCCTCGTTTTTCTGTGGAGATTAAATAATTTCGCGTAAAATTTTTTTCTCGTCTTGCAAAACGGAAACGCATTTAATTATATTTCTCTCAATCGCGATATGGAAAAGCCATTTAATGCAGCGCTTTACGTATTTCACCACCACGTTTCGCGCTACCGTTTGGACGGAAGTGTTCCTTAACGTTGTCCATAAAATGGAATCTAGGATCACGCAGCGAAATTACGTACAGTGAACAGTGAGGAGGATCCGCTTGCTGACTGTTGGTGGCACCCCGTTGGACGCTATGCAGAGATACGGTCCCATATGGAGACGCGTGATTCGTGTTATTTCCAGCTCCGGGCCCACGATACTCCCGGCTGCAACAGTTTACATATGTAGATGCAGGCATACAAATTCATGCGAACGTGGATTACGACGCATTATTACGTACGCCTCGCTCATCGTTTAGTGAAACGCACCTATGACACGATCTGACCAATTGCACACGTTAATGCCGCGTCGTTAATTTTTAAGCAGAACTGCTTCCGAATTGCGAGCATATTTTTACGAGTATAAATCACAAATTTAATGATCCCGATTTATAAACTTTGCTTATGATAAAAATAATGAATAATCTGAATTCTTTAATATCATGATACGTTTTTCAGATAAAATAATAAATAAGGAAATGATGAAAATTATTGCGATACATTATTGTAGCAAAAGTATATTAAATTTTTTATTTTTTTTAATTATGTAAAAGAGAGAAAAAATATTTGGAAAAATATATACGTATTGAAATACATTACGTGGGATTAAAAAAATTTTAAATCGTATAAATGCATCACGGTTATGTCTGCATTTATGGAAGAAATGAAGTTTTTAAATTTTTATTGATATTACATCAAGCGACGAGTTGCGTAATGCATTCGTTCATTGTATAGCGAATATATTTGAAAAAATACGTTCCGCGACTTAAATTCTTTGTACAAAAATCTTTTTACTATAAACCAAACAGTCTCTTTGAATCTATTATTTTATGTGCATCGATTTGAAAAACACTGCTGTTAGCAAATTGAAACATAATAGTAATAAATAACAATAATAAGGTAAGCTTTATTATATAAAACACGCTATGTGAAAAATAAGAGAATACGTCATTTATGTAATTTTCGCTACTTCTTATAAATAACTCATATTTCGTATTTAATTCTCACTTTCTTAATTTCCACATATCTTCTCATAACGTAGGTACACGTTACATATACCGCATATAGTGTAATGAACAAGCGCATATACGATAATTAAATGGCAAGCAAGTGGCTTAATATTGTGAAACATATGTAATCTTATGTCCTGCATTTTGCCAAATGTTCAAACGCGTAAATTATAATATATGTAGATAGCGCAAACTGAGTGTACCCTTCTGTGCGTGAAAAAGCAATTAAAAGATTTCGCAATACACACAATATCAACAGCGAGAAAAATGGAACATTGATTCACTATTAAATGATATAATTACGTTAGACTACGCATTGTATTAAATGGGACGTAACATAAATATTAATACGCAAAAGTGGACAAAGTAGCACTCATTATGTCAACTGTAATTTCATATGTTGTAAATTAATATTTGCTCTCTGATATTTTCCAATAATTTCTGTTTCGCATGTTGCAATACGGTCGACTAGCTTAATATTGCGAAACAATTGATTTCAAGTTTAATTAAAATGTGTATTTCCTTAATTTCGATATTATATAATTAATCGTGCTAATCGATTTGTACATTGAAATTACAATTAGTTCCGCGTCGCGAGTGTGCAATGAAGTTAAATTGACAATCTAGCACATTCATTTCGAGATTGATTATCATATAATTTACATAGTTCCTTTACAGATCAGCGGTCCACCGATGTGTACGCTATACTATTATCAGAACAGCGGTATCACAAGCTTATACAGGGTGGGCCATTTTAATTTATACAGTCGATTTTTTAAAAAACTAAAAGAGATATGAAAAAATGTTTCAGACAAAAGTTGTATGGTTTCGAGGGGGACATAAGATGGTACCATAGGTTTGACCTTGAAGAGTAATTTGAAGGTCACATGAAGGTTACCTTCAATT